CATGAGATTTGTTATTTTCTCAAGAAACAAGGACACATTTTTTTCCCTTGAGCATTTATCTATTGGCATTAGGTAAAAAATTAGCTTGAACATTCTGCTCCAGGTGAGGCTTGAACTCACAATCTCGGCATTGCTCAGCCCAATACTATCATATAAGTACCGCGCGCTAACCGATTGCGCCACTGGAGCTCTGAAAATAACCCATTCATGGACCTATAATAAATCAAAGAAAAATTTATGAACAAATGAGCACTAGGCTTGAGATGGGCTGGCAGCCTGTCTAGGGTGTGTACCGCCTCTTTTTGTTTGTGTATTTTTGTCATTCAAGGACCAGGGACATAGAGCCACAACATTGCTCTGTCTAATACTATCATACATGCACTGATTCAAGCACCACAAGAAAGGGTGTACCCCGCCTCATCTTAACGCTTAAAGTACAAGATACTTGTTTATAACTCAGCATACAAATAGGCTGAATTATTTGACAGTCTGTTTATGTAGTATATATTGCATATTTTCCTATTTCATATTAGGGTGTTAGCCAACACAACCTTTGTAGCAGTAACCTACAAGAGTTTTTCTATCATAAATGTGAAGAAGCATGAAGCCACTGCTCCAGGTGAGGCTTCAACTCTCACCCTCAGCATTGCTCAGCCAAATACTGTCATATAAGTACCGCGCGCTAACCGATTGCGCCACTGGAGCTACATTCAAATCTGGAGCATTCATGTACCTATTTACAAAATTAAGGAGAAATAAGAAATTTCACACTTTAGGATATAAAATGGACTGTACAACAGGCCAGTTTCCTATTTAGGATGTACCCTGCCTCTTGCCCAATGGGAGTTGGGATGGGTTCCAGCCCCTAATCAGTACCAATTGGTGAATGGAACAAAACCAGAAAATGTATTGCAGAAAAATGAAATTTTGGATGTAATTGGACCCAGTGTTTTTAGGCTGCCAGCTTCAGGACAACTATTTCCAATTCTCTTAAAGACCTTTATGTTGGAATTTTGTACATACAAAACTCTAAATAGCTAATGAGTTAAAATGTATTCAGATGTGTCATTTTTGCCCTTCTTTTGAGCACTACTGGAAGGTAATGGTGGTACTGGCTGACCACACCTTCATATTTTAAAGTGCCACATTTCCCCTCTGCTCACATGCTGAAAATTGCTTGGTAATGTGAGCTCCTCTCTCCCCTTGATGAAAAGCACCAACATTCCCCACAATTCCAGCAGCGGTGCTACTGGTAGAGAGACAGTACCTGTACAGGAAAGAGGCAATGAAGTAGTGTTAAGGGAACCATGAAGGTGACGACACAATCACGTTATAGATGGTGTAGTGAGCTGGATGGATCAAGCCGTCACTCAGCATGCTAATGTGAAGCAGCTCACTGGATTTGCCACACATTGCATCAGTTCTTTGTGTACCATTGCCAGCTCACATTTCTGGTATACAACAAAGCCCCAAGTGTCAATTTAGTCAGCGTTGGATAATGACACCAGTCTTGAAAGCCTAAAGAGACAACTTCGTGTATCCCGTTATGTACATCAACCATTTTCTAGATGGCTGAACTGTATGAAACCAAGTGGTGCATTTGAAACTCATTGCTCAAACTGAAGTTACAATAAAGCAGCCTTTTTATTGCAGTAGACATTTCATGGACCCACTCCATCGTCAGACCCCGGCCTTGGTCTGGCTGTTGGCTGGCAGTGGCTTGCCCATGTGGAT